CCAACATAGGACTTGCACCATTTTCTCAAACGTCCTTCAGAATATCCAACAAAATTTAATCAAAATCAATGGAAGCATTTTTGGAAGAAAAAAAAGAGACCCAGGGTTTTTATTCAAAGTACCCCCATAATTAAAATTTCAGTTTCAAATTCAAGAGGCCGCGACATCAGCCACATCTATTGGGAAATATTAATTTTAGGGAAATCGGCTGAACAGTTTAGCCGCTAGCGTTTTCCCGTCAATCGATTTTTCGGTATCAAGGACCCACAAAACACGGATTCTTGATTCGCAACGTATTTGAGGATTTTCCCCCTAAATTTAGCATATGAATTTTTCCACTTTTTAGTGGCCAGGGCCCTGTAAAAAGTTTGTCGGCCGAAATTTCGTTTTTTGGCGCAGCATTACATAGCTTTCTCTTCTTCAGAAGTCCATTCTTAAGAACGAGAAAGTTGAAACTCAGTAAATACTCGTGCTGTAGTTAAAAGGAGAATTGTTGATAGGAAAGGGACTTAAGGAAAATAACCAAAAAATTAAATATTTTCTTTTATTATAAATTCAAAGTACATTCCATAAACCTCATTTGTAAAATATCGTCCTGACTCAACATCTGACTCAACTCTGTGGCATTGGCTCAATCAACCTCGTCGCCAGCTCCTCCGCCGCCACCTGCGCTAGCGTCCGCTGCACCACCAGCCCGACCTCAAGGGTTCGGCGATGGCTGCTCCACGTCCGGCTCCATCTCCAGCGCTGGTTCCCGGAACTTCCCATTTCGTTCCGCTGGTGGGAGCTTGTAGTGGTATTGTGGTGAATCTCATGGTTGTAGTGGTGATGTCGTTATTGCTGCTGGTAATGGTTTCATCACCGCAACTCGTAATTATACGAGTATTATTTTATCTCCCCCAATCATAATGATACTCTTTTCTGACCATTCTTACTGAAACAAAATATATTTTTTAAAAAAATCACGATACTTTACTGTATACATTGTAAATAATATAAAAATTATATACACACACACACACACACACACACACACACATATATATATATATATATATACACACACATATATACACACACACGCGCGTGTATTTTAATGGATTTGCACCAAGCTCTAACAAGGTTTTTTTCATTGCTTTTATCGAGCAAAAAATAAATAAACAAACTCGCCGAATACACATGAAAATAAAACGTACTTAACATATGATCATGTAACGCAACACACCAGTACCGCTTACTTGTTACATGCTCTTGTAAATAGATGGGATAGGAGTGTGGAGAAACGGAGAACCTGTTCGGAGCGAGGGCAAATGGAGAGGAGAGAGGCATACAGTAGAGTGGAGTGGGGGAAAATATGGTTAAATGAATAAAGTGCGATGAAAGAAGAGTCGAGAGAGTGGACCACATTATTTTATAGTTATTATCGTTGCTATATATAGTAACCACCTATTATGTATAGTGTACGTTGTGTAAAGTGCTTTCATGCATATAAGAGATTATAGTATACGTTTGTAAAATAATATGTATATAATATATATGTGTGTATTTGGAATTTCTCGTTCAGATTACGGAAACCAGCAGTCGGCGTGCGTCTTTAAAATCTTAATTTCTTGAAAATTTTGTGATGTAAATTATGGCGATATGCATATTTATGAACTCGTCTTCGTCTCTTCACGCTTGTTATGAGCTAAAAAATCTATAGGCTTCAATTTAAAAAAATCTTAGTTGGGTCAATATCTCTGCAATAAAAAAATGCAATAGAATAATATTATGCACGACCATATGTGCCCCTTGCATATATAAATTTTAGTGAAAACGGAGTATTCTATTTTGTCTAATAGGGTAACCAAGAGCGAAACTGGACAAAAACCTGATTGAGATGGAAGTCATTGACGCAGAAGCTGAAGTACAATACTTGTTACATGTTCTTTACTATTATACAATCCAAATGGTAAATAATACATTAATTATCATTGTTAAAATGAATATTACTTTCCTTTTGGATGCTCGGTATAGTCTCTAATAGTATGGAAACAGTTGAGCACCAGAAATGATTTTACTTAGAACTAAAACTTTTGTATCAAATTTATTCGTTTAATGTCATCTGGCACGGTGTTGTAAAATAATGAACATGTATTATATGGGAACTTTTTGAAGTGAGCTGTGGATACTGTCACCTGGTGAATATGATTACGACTGTTGTGGTTATAGACTACGGCGTTTGCTGAAAATATATTCCCGCCCTTAAGCAAGTCATTTTTGCCAAAAACACTAATTCATATATGAAGGGACAAGGTAATTGTAAAATACCTAGATTAATAAAGAGAGGCTTACAAGAATCACGTGGGTGGGATTCGCTTATTATTCGTACAATTCTTTTTTGTAATCTAAAAGTTTGGGAGCTATAAGATGTATTTTATTGACAATGCTATAAGATGTATTTTATACACGATTGTAATTGTATATGTGACTCAATAAATATTATTATTATTATTATTATTATTATTATTATTATTATTATTATTATTATTATTTCCCCAGAATATTATGCCATATCTCAGGCGGGAATTAACATTCGCGAAATATACACAACGAGCAGAGTGGAGGCTGACTGAATTTGACAGAATTCTGAAAGCGTAGCATTAAGAACTTAATTTAGTGTTCAATTCATTTAATTGGACGTTCCAGTAAGTTTTGACTGAATTGAAAGACATAAAAATTTTGTTACCTTAACATCAGTCAATGGCACACCGTTCATTTTCAGTGAAGTGCAGAGCTGTTTATTTGAAATGGAAAATTACATTGAAACAGTTTTCTTTTAATTTACTATTAATTTGTCATTACGGAACTAATTTAATATATACGATATTGTACTATTTAGTTTCTTTATTGCAAAGATTATTCGTATCATCCGCAAGGAGAACTGTTCTTCCGTTTCTAATAGTCGAGGGCATATCGTTTTACGTGTAGTAGGAAGAGAATAGAGCCTAAAATCGATCCCTACGAGACTCCACATGCAATTGGCAAAGAATTGGAAAGGTGTGTGTACAGTGTTCCATTATTCCAGTAAGGTATTTCTATTCTCTGAGATAATGCACGAACATAACCAATCCAGAGCAATACCACCAATTCCATACGAAGGTAATTTTGAAAGTAAAATGTTATGATCAATGCGTCAAAAGCTTTTGAAACACCTAAAAATATTCCAATAGGTGCTCCCTTTTTATCCATGGATGAGGCGATATCTTTAGGAAATGAAAATATGGTCGGTTCCGTACATTTTGATTTTCGAAACTCATATTGGCAATCAGATGACAGATGTTCCACACACGCGGTCGAACTCTCAGATGACAAATGTTCCTCCGTTGATAAAGCGTCATAAACATTTTTCGGAACACCGTCTTTTTCAGAAACTGTTTCATTGTTCTCCGATGTCGTACGAAAGAGCTTCCTGTTTGTGTCGGTAAGGGCATAGTCGCAACCAGAACTTTCAATCGAAAAATGCGCGTCCCAGTATTGTAGAGACCGGCGCCTTTAGTACAACTAACAAGTAAAACAATTTTCTAACATATTTCTTGTTCAAAGGCAGTGAACGATCGGGCCCGCAAGGTTCGCATTGCGGGCGGGCCTAGGTAAAAAGAAGGGGTCATTGTTACGCTCAAGGTTTCGCGATTGTACGCAATTGTACTCTAATGGCTGAGAACAAAATTAACTTCTTAAATTTTCGAACTGTCAAGAGAATAAAGAACTCGCTCTGAATGTCCAAATGTTCTCATCTGCATCAACATTAGGATCCTCTTTCACCTAAAGAGAAGAGAAAGACACATTCTCAGAAAGAATTCATTGATCCACATCAAGTTCACGACAATATTTTGTAATTATTATAATATCTGGAAATGCATATTATTGCATAAATCCTCGCTACTACATTTCTCTCTTACCACAAGTGCATTAGAACATTCCAAAAAAACATTTTTTTCAAAAAATGCTTATAACTGTTACTGTATTTTTTTTTTCATGATGATTTGAATTTTGTGGTCCTCATTATGCTGTGACCATTTAAAATCCTTAAAAGAATTTACAATACATAATTTTATTTTCATAAGTAGTACAGGTAATTGCCAAATTTACAATTATTTCACAAGTAGAAAATTTTTAAAATAAAATATATTTTTTAAAAATCCACAGTAATTTTCCTTTCAAGGGAATTCTTTCAAATTATGTTCTCTTATACTCCTCAAAAAACTACTTGTAGAAGCAACAATATCTATTGAATTGAACATTAACATCCTACACCTCCTCCGAAGTGGTGCAAAATAATAAACATTTGTTCTAACAAATAGACTATTTTCTTCAAAATGCATACTTTATTCCAGTGTACACCAAGGGGTCATCGAATACAAATCATATGCATCAATAATGCCATTAATTAAATCATAAAAAAAACAAAAAAACAGGCAAGACAAAATATTTCTATAAGAGGAAAGCTGAATTTACAAACGATGCAATATGACTACATTCATTAATTACACTTGGTAGAGACAGATTTAGCTCCCAGGCAGCAAAATTGAGGATCCTATGCTGGACCACCTCAAGACCAGAGTCATGGGATTCATAAAAAGGAGACCAAACTTGTGATACAAAGCAATATGGGTCTCACCAATGCGATAAGCAAGGTCTTACTTACTTTTATATCTGTGAAATCATGTGTCATGTCTAATGAAATCAAGCATTCAATTGGATTTATCAACAATGTATAGATAATATGAAACAAATATAATTTTTTGGCCAAATATTACCCCCAAATCCCCTATTTGAGACAGATTTCAGGATACATTCCCCAATCTTATAATCAAAAACACTTCTGTTTCTTTTAATGTAGAAGACATTGCTTTGCATTTATCTCTATTCAATTTAAGATGCTTCCAATAACACCAACTTGACACAGCATCGAGATTGGATTGTAACTCGGTACAATCTTGTATCCACTATCTTCCACCATCTTCTGACTGTCTTTGGGTATTAACTAGATTTGTTTGTCCAGTTTTATTTTAGACAGCCATATATTTTACAATTAAAAACCAAATGGTTAATAAAAAGCCATAATTTGGATTTGGGAATTTATTTGAAATATATTAGTTAAACTTTCTGCACCTTTACCATTTCTTGATATTTCGAGGAACATCTTTCCACATTTCAAGAAGCACCATCAGAAGAGAGAAATTACAATCTGTTGTTGTGAATTAGTACAACATTCATTATAAAACAGAGCTTGGAAATCCAGTAATTTTCCTTTTTGCATAGGCATACTTCCAAAAGGATCTTGTGTCATGATTTGTTAAGGATTGAATTTTAGCTAAATAATTTTAGCAATGTTCAAATAGTTTAGCTTTACAGTTTTTTCAATGCACAGAGAAACAAAGGTAGTCCTTGATACTATATGATTCTTTGTACTTCCAGTGTAAATGAGCTTTTGATTGAAGCATACACCAATTCAATTGAATACCAAGAGGAAAATGATGAGGGTGATAACAGTCTTTTGGGAACATGTGTCTCAATCATTTGATACATTTTCTCACAAAAAATTTGAAGGGATTTAACAATGTCAACATTTAAAAACAGAGGATATCAATTAAAGATTAATATTTCTTCATTAATTGCAATAAAATCAGCCAGATCAAAGTTATAACTTGTTTCTTTGAAGATTCGCAGACAGAATTTCATGGGTAATTGGTAATAAGTCAAATGTAGGATGGAATGCAATACGTGTGAACAAAAGGTAATCAGCCTTATGGACCAGAGATATCTGATAATTTAGTCCAGTTTTATCTTTACAATATAAATCATCACTCCAATGATATAAATTCAAATAATTTAATGCATGTTGTAATACAGTGCCAGAAAAACAATCAGTTTTTGAAAAAAAAACTACAATCCAAGTTATTGTCAGAATTAATCCACTTCATATCTGAAAGATTAAAATAACCACCAATTAAAATTTTAGCATAAGGGTGTTTTCCAAACATATTTTCAATTCTATTAGTGAATATGTAGTGATCAATCGAAGGGGGGGGACATAAACTATACAAATAATACAAACAGAAGAATAACTTTTCAATAGAATAAAAATATTTCGCAAGTCTCGTATGTTGATATCAAAGAGCTATTATATTTACAGTAAACAGCAACTAAAACACCTCCACCACGTTCCTTGTAGTCGAATTTCTGTCCAGTTTAAAGATGTTATATGAATATACAAGTTCCACATCAGCAATACCCTCATGTGACCAAGTTTCCATCAAAATCATATTCAAGTGGTCAAACGCTGGTTTAGATATATTTAGAAGGTGTTGTTTAGTAAGAAGACCTCTGACATTTTGATAATATATTGACAGTCTTGAGGATTGCTCACTTCTCAGTTTTCCCCAACAAATGATGCATCTTCATCTGTCAAATGAACTCCTACAAATATAAGACACACCAATTTTTGATTTCAATTCTCCTCCAGAAATACCCCTTTCAGAAGAGTCTCTTAGTATAGCACTTGGGAAATAGTAATAATTTTGAGAACTATTTGAATTTTCAAATTTTCATGCATTTTCTACTCATAATCGGTATCACTTTTACTTTCCATATCGAATTGGATTAATGATACAATATCATTAATCAAATCACTAACATTTTTCTCCTTCATTGACATTTCTCACGATCTAACTCATTTCATCACTAACAACAGCACATAACTTTCATTTTCATCACAGAACAAAATGCTACCAAAAGCAATATAAAAGAACTATAATCTCAAAATTTGATTAGAAATTTGTAATTCTAAGGATCTTCAAAGGATTTTAAATATATACAAATAATGTGAACTCTTGCCTAAATGCAACAATTTACTTATCACTTCACGCATGACTAGCTACTCTGGCCAGATCCCCCTTCAGAGCAAATTTTTCACAACACACAAAGATTATTATCCTATTCCCACCTTATGATATATACAGTGGACACCACAAATTGTAACACCAGTTAAGGTTATCCACATAGATGATGTACCAATCAGACTAATATTACATTAATAAAATGCTGTTTATTGTGATCAGAATTAGTTTTGTGTTATCATGGGTTTGAAATACATTTCAGTAAGGCACAGTTTTGGGCCATCAAGGCTCACAACTTCAGTTTTACAGCCTAGTGACCGAGGAATCATTCGAACAAGAAAGGTGTATTATCACCTCGCGGTGCACGCAAGAATTCTTGAGAAAATAGAAGAGACGCAAGGAATGTGTGCTAATGATCTACTAAGAGAACAAATGTTCTTGATGCCCTTCACTTTTTACTGATGACATGGTACAAAGTGTCTACAAATACAATCCCAAACCATTTCCAGCATGGAGTTTTTTCAAGAGAAACATCACAATGTGAAGAAATCTTGTGCACTTGACTACCAAAGACAGAAAACAAACTTCAGGAATGAATGGCTGTGGATGAAAACATCACGTCTGCTAGATATACAGAAGAGGACGTATGTGAAGTTGTCACTTCTACAAACTCACAAGTGACAGCATGAGTGTGCAGAGAAATGAGGCAGGCGTTAGAAATATTGAGACACAGTGTTATGCACAGGTTAGTTGATTTCATGAAACATTATGAGTATGAGATTTACAATTATAGAATCCTCAGAGAAAACAAGAAGCAGACTTTAATAGAGAACTGTTGAGAAAATGTGACTAACGTATAATATTATTTGTGCCTATATAATATTGTGTAAATGAATTTTCTTCTCTTGGTGAAGGCAAAGGTGAGTATACTATGAATGGATGTGTTTCCTATAGTAAACTATTTGATGGAGATTTTTTTTTCATTTACTTATCTTCAATTAGAATATTTTGCCTATTCATCATATTACCTGCGACCTGAAGTGATAACTGTGTCCACTGTAGTTACAGTACATATACCGCAGAAATCTTGGTCTCTTATTGCATGAAGTCACCAATATTATTATTGTACAACAATTCAAAATTTGTAGACTTTGGGGAAGATAAATAATTAGCAAAACATGTGAATTTTCAAAACCTTTTTATGATATCCCCAATTAAAAATCTCTTAACTTTCTCATTGACTTGAATTAATGATAAAATTTCCTTCGCGTTCATCACGAACAGTAATACATCAATTTTACATATTAACAGAACCAAATTCTACAAAACGTAATGCATCAGAACTATAATCTCAAATTTTCACATGCACCTACATAAATAAGAATTTATTAATGTACCATTAGCCATTAAATTATGTACACAAACTCATAAATGAGATAACACCATGTCTAATGGAGCAATTACTTCCACCTCATCAGAAATCACATAAAAAAAACAAGATGTGTATGAGATATGCCATCATACATTCCAAGGACATGTCCTCATACATACTCAGGATGAGATATGTTGTTGCACAAGCATGAAGGATTCATCACACTCTCAACCTACGTATTCAGTCACTGTTCTCACAAATGCACTATAACTATTTTTTAATGACTGACAACAGAATTAGTTCCATTAAACACATTTTCTGTGACATTTAGTTATCATAGTTACAAGAGAGACAATTTCATTACAAAACAAATTCTCTCCCTAACTACAGATAAGCAGTTTTGCAACAATATACATAATTTTATCAAATAAATGCCTCCTTCACTGTGAATGACATGGGCACAAAGCTCAAATTGTCATTAAAGTATTCAATATATACCAGTAACAATGAAACTATTACTCACAACACAACTCGATCTACAGTCTTCTATATTGCCTCCTTGCTCTTCTTTGATCTGGAAACAACAAAAAAAAGGAGACATTAGTCACATAATAATAATAATATTTTATTGAGTCATTTCTACAATTACAGTGTATGTCAAATTACAGTATGTGTCAAATATGACATGAAGGGAGTGGAATTGTGCACATCTCAAGTGCAGAAAGAGAAGTACTGTCCAGAAGCAAAATAATCAGCATTAGCTGAAAGGACCAGGGAAACAAGACAAAAACTGATTGAGATGGGGTCATTGGATTTGAATTATATTACATACATCTTTAACTTGATTTTAATATCCTTAAGGCACGTTCTTTGATTATCAATTGATACACAACTTCAAACTCCAAAACTACCGCAGTTCATATATGTTCTGTGATAAAATAATCTCATGAAAACAATTTGAAAACCAATTCATGGCATTTGTTAGTAAAACCGCCTTCATTCTGGTTCCTTTGAAAATACTCTCACTCATAACCCGGCGGTGGGAACATGAAAAATACTAACGTCAGTGGGAACATTGGGTCTAATAGACTCCACTTGTTATTAGAGCCTATTTAAAGCATTAAAGATGCAAACTGATACTCATAAAATAAATCATAAATCCAATATCGAGTCCAAAATATTTCCCAATTTTTGAAAATTCTCTCAGAAAACAAAATTAAAATGCAACAAAGATCAAAGAAAAAAATGTCGCACTAAGCTAATAACTGTAACATTAACAAAATATGTCTGCATGGCTTAAACAAACATTATGGAAGCATTTTTACAGTAATGTTTCATAATATGTTTTATGGAAGCAGTTTTTACAATAATTTTTTCGACGTTTTTGTCTTAACTTTTTTGAGAAAGTGTATTGTGGTCTACCAAATTTAAAATAATTTGTCTTTCATAACCCTAAAATATTGACTTTATTAACAATAATTAGTCTGCAAATAAATATATAAAAATATTACAAAAGATTCACGTTAAATTTCCTGATTCACCAGTTCAGATTGTTTAATTTCTTGTTCAGAATCTGTGCGAACTGTTTAGTTCAAATAATGTATCAGTAACTTCATCATCACTTGATAAATTATTATGTTCTAAAAGCTTGTTTATAAATTCTATATCATTCGGATTAAATGCTTTAAAATAACTCTTGGATAAGCCTTCCATGTTTTTCTGATAAACTCAAACTAATGGTCGCCATCTGTTCAAGAAGTTGCAATTTGAACTTAGACTGGTGGATAAGTTAAGAAATAATTTTGTTTACTTCACACATGGCTTCAAATATGTCGCTGCGTCCGACAGACCCAACGTTCCCACTGCCGGGTTCATCTTCTAAATTTGCAAAAAAAATACTTACGTCTTCTATTTTGATAATACTTTCCGATAAAATTGCTATATGTTCCATTACTATTACTGGTTTAAATCACTGAGAATATATAATAGGTCTGGGAAACAATGTGTTGTATTGCCCATCGCAATATTACTCCGGCAACTTTTCTCCTTTCTGTCTCCTTCCTTACCAGGGCCGGTTCACTAAAAGTTAAAAGGCGGGGGACTAAGTTTGTTTCATCAGTCATGGACCTGGTGCAGATACCGCTGCTGTTGCGTTTTGGCGCGCATTTTCAAAGTTGTACGAAAGTGCCAGTTGTGGTGCGAGTAGGGAATATCTATGAGTATTTTCAGCTTTTCTTATGATTTACTACAAACAATTAATTGTATTGTTTGCAGAAGATGGGTAAATGTTCCGAAAGAGGGTGCTCAACCTCTTAGAGGATGCCCTTTCATAAGCTCCCCCAAAATCAACAGATGCGTGAACGATGATTGAAAAACATAAATCGTCAAGGTTTAATTGGTAAATTATGTATGAAATAGTACAAAAGTTCATAAAATTGTATGTACAAATAAAATCAATCAAATATGCACACTTTGATACAATTGGTGAGACAGAACCTCACTTCTATAGAAGTGATATTTTTTATAGTAGAAAATTTATAATCTGACACAAACTTAGTCCCCCGCCTTTTAACATTGAGTGAACCGGCCCTGCTGGCGGCCTTCGAGTTCATTTCGAGTTGGCATGCCTGGGGACAGACCGCGAGCCGTCAATAAGCGGAACATGGAAACAAGTGATTTCTTGCCCTGATGAAGGTCACAGAATGGCGACCGAAACTTTGGCACATGTGCCCTAGACGCGGCGTCTCCCTATTTCGCGGCAGTCCATCTCCGCGCAATAACTACGCCCTGGCGAAGAATTTATGGCATGAACCGGAATGTACAGTCACGATAATCCCAATTACATCAAAGTCCCATTTGCAAGAGAGAATTAAGGAAGAATGGACTCGAATTGGACAACAGTACCTGGCAATAATTATTGGTTCAAATCTAAAGCGATTGCAGCAAGTCATTGACAACAATGGTTTTGCTACAAAGTAATAATTTTATCTTTATTTATTCATTTATATTATATTTCATTTCACGTGGCGAATATTACTGTGGATAAAGGATCCAGACAATTTTATTTTGTTTTCTTTTTTATTGAATGCGTCAACGGCCTTATTGTTTGGTTTATCCATTAATAAAGGAAAAATTATATTTCACTTTGTTGCTTATAATTCTTTCCTATAACTGCCACAATATCGCAGAACTTACGATTCCTGGAGTATCTCTAGGTGTCCGAATATAAAGTGAGCCACTGTAGATATTTTTCCGTAATGAAGACAAATATTAAATTAGGTCATGTACAGTTTTTCGAAAATACGCGTAAGTTTGAATGAAATATGGGCAATTCCTATTTTTCCCACAAAACGACTCCAATTTTTTCTTCAAATTTTCTCCACGTGTAAATAAACGATTAGTAAGAAATGATAGTAGTCTCATTTCCCGCAAGTTCTGTATATTTGAAAATTGCAAAATTATAAAATTACAAAATTGAAGATAAAGATTTAATTTAATAATATTAAAGAGAAAAGTTTTTTCCTTAAAATCTGTTCTAAAAAGTCAGCTCTTTAAAAAAGACCAGGTACAATTTTTTTGAAAAACCTAGCAGTTTTTGCGTAATTTGTGCCTGCAAAAACTGATTTCTTTAGATTTTCTCCTCGTATGTATCAAAAGACAGTCATTTTCGGCAAAATCTCGGTCTTTTCGAAAATTCTCAAAATGTTTCAATTTCGAAACTACGAAATTGAGGATATGGATGTTTGCCTTAAACAAAATATATTCTAAAAAGCCACCAAAGATCACATATCATTTTTTTTTGAAAACCGAATTCTACAATCTGTTTTAAATTAATGTGAATTATGAAAAGCACATTTTCTCAACAAAAAAGAATACCAAATTGTCTTTAATTTTTTCTAGGTATAAAACAAAGGAGCTTAAAGGTATGGTGGAGATCTAATTTTTGTGATCTCCCCGCATTTCTGAAATTGTGTGATGGAAATATTAGTTTGAGACAATTGGATTTTTAAGCGTCACCACGAATTAGTATGTCAAAGCGGCTGCTTGGTGTAGAGCTAAGGCGCACGGCGCCAATATTTTTACTGGTTTAAAACACTTATGCAGGTTCATGAAACAGTATAATATTGCAGAGCAGTTACAAATAATGCGAGAAAATGTGTGCTCTTGTAGTACTACTAGTTTTTAATTTTATTACATTTGTGTCCTATCGTACTTACACATATCAGTATGTTTTCTAGCTGAAATTTTTTTCGTTTTCTATGAGCACATGCCTTCTCTCAGCTAGCGTTTAACTTCTCTGATCTTGTAAAATGCCCTATCCATCTCCAAAGAACCGAACTCACAAGTACACTAGACTTCAAAAGGCAATTGACCTTCTGTGGATTGGGCTGACCCATAAAATAGTTCACGAATGACCCGTCAGATCGGCCATGCCCAAGAGGCGTACTCTAACGGCCGTTAACAAGATCTCACATAAGAGACGACTCCGAATATAAGCGATAACAACGCGTTAAGACACACTTATTAAGGTGATCTGTTCGTGCCAGTCGCTAGTCAAACACTCGACCATATATTCCATCTACAGACTAACAACAGCTGCTTGTAAACGTGAACGAATCATTTAAATAACTATTTGTAAATAGTTGAAACAGAAGTATTAATAGTTGATCCAGAAAAAGTTTACTAATAAATTTTGTCTCTCGCATAATTTTTCATTTTCATGAGTTGGCAATATCTAATCTAATACAGGTTGAGTGCGGCGCCCGTAATTTCTTTCTTTTTTCTTTCGGCGTTGAATATTAGCCCGCATTGTATACATAGAAAGTGAATTCTCGTCAAATAGTTTGTGGTTGTGTGTGGTGCACAATTTTAAGTTAAGGTGGTTTTCTCTCGTATACCTAGAGAATCAGCACTGACAATTACATGATTTGTACAGCATAACACCTGGGCCGATTTACCTTCGACTGCGGTATCACAGCAGTTCTTTTTTTTTATTAATTACTCCTCCAAATGTCTGGTTATGTTTGCTACATTTAATATCACCTGATTCTAAAAAAATTACTGCATACCAAATAAAAGAAAAAGGTACTTTCACCGTGTATCTTCTTCAACAACTTAAATATGTGTTCGCGAAAGTTTTTCCATAAGAGCCTGTACTAATTTCAACTTTTTACTAAACAATTAGGCTGGGAAAGGCCACTTCACCGAAGTCAATCAAACATACTACTTTCAAAACATGGTTTTTTCGCTTTAAACAAATATTAAGCCATTACCAGATGTCACTTCTAATTAAACACTCACTGCATCCAGTTGCAGGAAGTTAATTGGATCAACAGTGTATCCCCGTTCTTATTCTTCAGGACAAATTTGTCAGAGGTGACCACTTAATAGGGGCTAAATTACGAAATGTGTTTCATCGATGGACTTGGTGGCCGCTCAAGTAAGGAATAGTTAACTGCCTTGTGGAAAATTAAATAGGTTACACGAAAATTTAATGTTAATGAAGGTCGTAGGTCGTTAATGAAGGTTATAATCATAGGTCGTACGAGTAGGATTCATCGTATTCCTTTGAAATACATAATTTCGATATCGTAATGAATATGAGACATGTTGATGATGGCGGACTAACTTCCCTCTAATGAAAAGTACACCGATAATATTGCCATATAAGGATACCAAAACATGAAAACTGTGAAATATTTTCTGAAAAATATCACGATTTCTATTAAAATAATGCAAACATTTTAAAAATGTAAAATGACATCATTCGAAGTTCTAAAATTAAAAGATAAATTGGCTTCATTCAGAAAGAAATATATTTCGTGTCATGTGGTCCAAGCCTCCTCTCGCCACCAACTCGAATTTTGAAAGTCCCCAAGGGACATCGCCTTGTAGTAGCACTGTCCGTGCGGGCGGGAAGGCTTGTGTGCTTCAGTGAGGTGGAGGGCTAAGCTGGCGGTAGCATTCTCGTTTAGGCATGTCTATTGGTAGGGTCACCCATGCCGGACAGGCTGAAATGGAGAAGCTAGACTAACGTGCCTCACAACGTCGTATCTTAATCCTATTCCCTATTCCATGACCTAAGTTCCACATGTCCTATTCGACCCTCCAAAGGGACACAGTCGTATCTACTGAGGTACCCTTTCTTCAGGTGTGACATCTTTCACTTTCTTATGCCACACATATTTCAACTTTCCTATCAGGCCTCTCTTGGCCAACTCTTGTTTTTTCGACCCCGACGCTATTGGGTTTCGAGGGCTAGGGAGTCTTTCTTTTTTCATTCTTTAGCTTCGTCGTAGAGAATACAACCCCTCTAGGGCACGAGAAGCTCGATAACAAAACCTCTGGTCCTCCAGGTTGAGGGTTTGGCATTGGGGTTGGTCCCCAATACCAGTAAAAAATTCAAATGCAAAATGTCCCAATACTCAGCCTCGGATAGGTCAATTATGGAAACGAAATCGTACGAGAAAAAGGACTTTGAATGTTGGTACATGAAATGTGCAGGGCTTAAATACTAAAGAAACAGAAGTGTTTGTTCAATTGGAGAAATTTAAAATAGACATTGCTGTTCTTTCTGAAACTAAGAAAAAGGAAATTAAATTAAGGGAAACTTCTTGTATTTCTGTACTGTAGTATCCAAAGATAAATGAGCAAAGGCTAGCATCTCAACAGCAATAAATAAAAAAAATGGAAAATAAATGTAAAAACTGGAAAGAAATAAGTGAAAGAATTATTAAGTTGGAAATGTAAATAATGGGATGAGCTATGGTAATAATTGCCGTTTATGGACCAACTGATGATTCCAACAATAATCTGAAAGACATTTTTTAAAAGGAACTCACGTTTCTCGATTCAATAAGTAATAGGAAAGAAATAGTAATAATGGGGGACATGAACGCTAGAGCAGGGAGAAAAATAAAGGACAAAGCAGTAGGTGCTTTAGGAGAAGATATCATAAATGAAAATGGAAAAAGATGGATTTAGATATGTAACGTCTACGATATGAAGATAATGAATGGTTTCTATTAACATAAAACTATTCACAAATATACCTGGGTGCAGTCTACGAAGAACCAGAAATCAATAATTGACTACGTAATTATGCGACAGACATCTTGCATTAAAGCATTGGATGTAAGAGTTTTTAGAGCTGCAGAATGTGACTCTGATCATTACTTAATGAAGGGTACAATGATTTTTTCCTTTAGAAAGCAAGTGCAAAAAAACAATTATAACAAACAAGAAGTAGAAAGTATAACTTACCCTAAATATCAGCTAAAACTATTGAATGAAAACTCTATCAAATTTCTATATCAGTTAAGATTGGCAAATAAATTAAGAGAACAACCTGAAGGGACAACTGATGATATGTACAAAAAAACTAAAAGCAGCAAAACATGAAGCAGCGTTTGAATCTCAGGGGGAAGAGAGTAAAGAAAAACCTAGGCAATATTGGTGGAATAATGAAGTACAAACTAAGATAAAGGTGAAAAGAAGATATTATGAAAATTGGCTTGCGACCCAAAATCTGGACAACAGGAAAGAATATATGAGTTTGAATAGAGAAGTGAAAAAACTGGTAAAAAAATCAAAAGATTAATGGTGGAATGAAAAATGCTTAGAAGTGGATGAGAACTGGGACAAAACAAAGAATCATGGAGACTTATAAAACATTTAAGACCAGACAATAAAACACAATCTAATTTACAAATTATGAAAATGGACGAATGGGTTAAATATTACTCAAATTTGTTTGAAGAGAATAGACACGAATTCAAGGAAGCTCTAAAAGAAACTAACAGACAATTGGATATTACACCTGTTATGAGGTAGAAGCAAAACGTTTAAATGAGATAAAGAACTCCATCAAAAAGATGGTAAATCTCCTGGCTCTGGAAGTATTCCTGTAGAACTATTGAAAAATGCGCCAACCAATGTATTACAAATACTACAAATAATTTTTAATAAGTGTTTGCGAGGAGAAAAGTTGCCTAGGGAATGGAAGCAAGATTTTTTAACAGCAATTCACAAGAAAGGACCAAAATCAGAGTGCAAAAATTATAGAGGAATAAGTGTAACTTCATCTACAGGATGACTGTATGGGCAAATTATAAAACAGAGAATTGAAAGAGAGTTTAATACAGAAGATGAGCAAAGTGGGTTTACAGCTGGTAGAAGTTGTATCGATAACATCTTTACAATAAAGCAGGAGCTAGAAAAGAGATTAGCTAGGAGTAGGGAGACTTACCTTGTATTTATCGATTTAGAAAAAGCTGTCCCATTAGGTAAACTCTTCCAAATACTAGAAATGGTTGGTATCAGCGCCCAATATATAAATGCAGTAAAAGATTGGTATGAGAATCAAGAAACAAGAATATAAGGGGGAAAGGAAGTTTCGCAGTCATTTGGACAAACAAAGGGTCTGAGTCAAGGGTGTTGTTTATCACCCCCTTTGTTTAAGATTTATCTCCAAGAAAGTCTAAACGTATGGCAAAATATGTGCCGAGGTATGGGAATATGCATTGATGAAGATTGCTTTCATACATTATTATTTGCTGATGATCAGGTGATTTTGTCCGATGATGAGTTTGACATGGAGTATATGATGCGAAAGCTTGCGAAAACATACAAAAAAAGCCGGATTAAAGAGATCAATTTCCTCAAAACAAAATATATGGTAGTGGGAGAGAATAAAAGAAATTATATACCAATAAATGGAGATCAGATAGAAGCATGCCATGAATTTAAATATTTGGGTGAAATTATTAGCGAAGAAGGAGATTCCAGAAAAAATATTTCTTCAAAACTAACGCAAGGACGGCAAGCTATTATAAAGTTAAACTCGCTGCTCTGGGGAAAAGAAATATCCAAGCCTACCAAGAAAAGACATTTCGACTCTATCATACAAAGTATAAAATTGTATGGTGCAGAAACATGGGAACTAAGGAAAAGAGAAAGAGAGAAATTAATTATCCTACAAATGGATTTTTTGAGAAGAAGTTGTGGAGTATCTAAAACGGAACATATTAGAAACGAAGAAATTCTTAAGCGAATGAAGGTTCAAAAATCAATAATAGATGATTTGGAAACACGAAGGCTGAAATGGTTCGGTCACGTGAAAAGGACTGATTGTGAGAGATGGCCCAGAAAGGTATGCGAGTGATATCCTTTAGACAGAAGAAAAACAGTAGACCCAGAGAGGAATGGCAAAATCAGATTTTTAACGATATGCAAAGAAGAGGACTAGAAGAGAATGACTGGAACGATAGAGTGGTATTGAGATTGGGATGCGAGAAACGGCCACAAGAGCTGTAAAACACTCGCAAGAAGAAGAAGAAATTTTGAATACAATATTTCCTTCGTAGTTACAGATAAACAAATAAAACTATTTATTTCTCCAACTCTCATCGGTCTATTAAATCAAACTATTTACGTGAATTTCGCCTTTATTAACACACAGAGTGCATCACTATAGCAATAGCCCGCCTCCACGACAATCTCTTCCAACTTCACATCTCTCTTAAGCATTGTATTCCAGCGTTGGCAAATAAATATGGTATTTTAAGAGCTTCACAATGTCTTTTAATAAAATATGATTTAAGTAATAAACAAAAGTATTTGTATTTAAATGTGGGTTCAAAGTACACTACTTTGGGGCTTTTTGCAAAAAGCATCTTTACACTTAATTTTTACAGAAATGGAGAGAACTAGATCTTGATATTTTTAATTGAAAAAGGATGCTGTATTAAAATATTAGGTGACGCATTTCAAATTCCTTACTTAAATATTGAAAAAATTGACTATGCACAAAATGGAATTTTATTGAACACTAATTTTTTCCTTAACATTTTAGCACATTTTGGCACATTGTTAGCCCAAAATACAATCGATAATCAAACACCAAATGAAAAGGATCCGATATGAAAGAACTTTTATCATTAAATTTACACCCAATTCAAGCCCGGTTTTTTACGTAATTCGAATAATTTTAAGAAAAGTTAAGTTACTAACAATTAGGACAAGACAGGGGAGGTAAACGATTCCTCTTTAGGGGGTTTTCTATCATTTTCACGTCAAAAAATTTAAAACTTGAGAAAATCCTCATAACTATCGAGTCAACAATTATTCATTTCCCCCCAAACCAAATATTTTATTTCGTAATCTCTCTCCCTCTTTCTCTGTCTGTCTATCTCTCTCTCTCTCTCTCTCTCTTTCTCTCTCTCTCAATGTGAATCCACATATGCGTAATTAAGTGGTTGTTTTGCATCTCTTTCGAAAGTGATGGAGCAAATCTGTGGATCCGATTGTGTCTACCAAAACTACTTCCTTCTGCGAAGCTCCTTTGGCAGACTCAACATTCATGAGGGCGTCCACTGCATGGGGCACGCATATGTCTCACTAGATGACTTCCATCAACGGAAGTACTTTTGCATCTTAAGGGCGTTCATTGCGGTGAATCTGCATATGCTTAACCAAGACCCCTTTCCGTACAAAGCTTTTTTGGCAGACGGAACATTTGTAAGGCCGTTCGCCGGTGTGTATCCGTATGTGCGTAACTAAATCACATTTCTGAACAAAACTCTGTTGGCAGACGGAACATTCGTGAGGGCGTTCGCCACTGTGGAATCGTTTGTGTTTAACTAAAGTGCCTTTATCAGGGAAGCTTTTCTGGCAAATGTTGCATTCCAAAGGGCGTTCGCCACTGTGGATCCGCATGTGCGTAACTAAATGACTTCTACAGACGAACTTCTTTTTGCAGATAACACATTCATGCAGGTGTTCACCGCTGTGGGTCCGCATGTGTTTAACTAAAGTGCTTCTCTCGGCGAAGCTTTTCCGGCAGATGTCGCATTCAAAAGGGCGTTCGCCACTATGGATCCGCATGTGAGCAATTAAATGACTTCTACCAACGAAGTTCTTTTTGCAGACAGAACACTCGTAAGGACGTTCACCTCTGTGAATCCGCATGTGCTTACACAAGTTACCTGTCTCCGAGAAGCTTTTTTGGCAGACCGAACATTCATGCGGGCGTTCACCGCTGTGAACTCGCATGTGCTTAACTAGGTAAGCTTTCTGAACGAAGCTTTTTTGGCAGACGGAACATTCATGAGGGCGTTCTCCGCTGTGGATCCGCCTGTGTCTGGCTAAAGAATTTCTGTCTGCGAAGCTTCTCTGGCAGACGGGGCATTCACGGCGGCGTTCACGGTGGATCTGAATGTGTGTAAGTAAAGCACTTCCACCCTCGAAGCTCTTTCCGCAGATAATGCATTTATAGGTGCGCGCATCGCTGTGAATCCCCATGTGCGTAACTAAAATGCTGCTATCTGCGAAGTTTTTTTGGCAGACTGGACATGCGTAAGGGCTGTGAATACGCAGATGTTTAACCAAGTTGCCTTTCCTTGAGAAGCTCTTTTGGCAGAAGGGACATTCATTAGAGCGTTCCCCGCTGTGAATACTCATGTGCCTAACAAACCTTGAACGTCGATTGTATTTCTTTTCACATACGGAACATTCATAGCTTTTCCCTTTCTGCGGAAAACTAACGTCATGTTGACTCTCCAACACACTCGTCACAGGAACAGAGTGTTCACCTTCCTGTCTGGCGTTATCTGGGCTTGAAAACCGCGTGTCGTTCTCTGATTGTTTGTTGTATTCAGCGTTCTGCTTTGGTTTCTCTTCTGCATTGTGAGACGTAAGGTCTTTTCCTTTGTTGCGGGCGCTGTTGCACTTTTCCCAAGAGCTTCCCACTCGAGTGTGCGATTCAGTGAAGGTGCCATATTCTCCAACTGTTGGCAAAAATACTTTATTAGCGAGAAATCAAAGTCAGTTTTTGGATATTTAGGAAAGCGAACTGGCAAGCACCGACAAATACTTCTAGTACCGCAATACAGGCGATTGGGCCTCGTCTCCATTACAGTACGAGTATCTAGGAAATTATTTCTTATAAATTCTAAAATGGATTATAGCTCCGGTTGTAGAAGCCTGAAGATCCACTTTTCTGAGAGTACTATCGACAACTATTTGTAGGATTTTTTCCTAAATGAATCCCAGCCAAGCTGGCTCAACTTTCAGATTTTGACAAAATTTCTTCATATATTGGGGGTACTTTACATGAAGCCTTTGGGACATTTTTACATATTCTCAAAAATGGCTCCAAGTATTTTCTTCACATTTCGGGTAAGAATAATCTTATATTCTAATCTGTAATGAATGAAATACACTTACAAAGATGGCATAGGTCGAGTTTTCACAATTAACTTTGAATTTTCGAAAATTGCAAATGTTTTAAATTTTTTACTATCTTCCTACAATTACAATATTGAAGACAGCTATTTTTCTTCAAATGAAATTTGTTTTCCTCAGTCAGCTACTTAATTGTCATGTACACTTTTTTGAAAATTTTAGTAGTTCTCTCATAATTTTGAGTGAAATGTGGATAATACACAAAAATATTACAAATTAAATTTTCTAAAAACAGACTCCATATGTTTTCTCTAAACTTTTCGTATGGGTGGTGCGAAATGCACTGAATGAGGTTAATGTTAAATTGATTTATTCTTTTCCTTTTAAAAAAATACACAAATGTAATTCTTTTTTTAATGTCTCTAACTTCATTAATAGTATTTACAATACAGAGATTCCTTATACATCTCGCTTCTGTGAGAACAATATCTTCAAATAGTTCCCCATGAAATATCTTGATAACTCGAAAGTTTTGGGTGTAAATCATATTCAAAATGCTCATTTTCAGAAACGCTTAAAAGTAATTTTCTTAAAAAAAGCTTCAAAATTTTCTATGAAAACACTGTCTCTGCATTATGCAATAGTTTAAGAAAAAGTAAAAATAATCATAACAGAATCTTACAGGTAATTAAGATCAATTGTTTCTTTAACTCACCACAAGATGAAATGCTCTTGCCATTAAAACTTTCATTGCCCATTAGAAATGGATCCTGCTGGAGAAGAATAATTAGAATGAGACAATAGTGCATAATTAACTCAATATTCTATACTGTCCTCTTATGCAATAGCATTTGAAAAAGTATCAGCAGATTTGCAGTATTAAATATGGGGAACTGTGAAAGGAAAATATCTGCTTTAAAAAGTCAGAAAGTATAACCTGCTGAAAGGAATGTTTTAAAACCTGATAGCTTTAAAATTACTCAACCACAAGAGAAATATATTGAAAAGATTTCAAGATCTATGTGCATAAGAATTATCACACATTTCAATAAACATATAAATTTCATATTTTGAGTTCACAGTGTTATTAGAGAATTAAAATTACTGAACTGTATATAGTTATTACAAAACAAAACAAAATAAACTCTACTACTCTAATTAAACAAGTGGAAAAATAGTTATGTATGTCACAAGTCCATTCCAAGTCCACAAACCTGACTAAAGCAGAAACAGAATAGTTTTTAGAGAAAGACAAGTAATTTTTACCTATCTAAGAAGGAAATTTCTGCCACTATCTTTGGAATGGCCCAGTGGAAAGGGACACTACCTAAGACAGAGTGAATAACAATTTTTTCCTTTTATGTCTGCTGTTGAGGAATATTTGACAAACTTGGTGTCTGGTTTGCTATGACTTTCTCACACTTGGTGTTATTTTCAAAGTCACAACATGAGCAACTTCATTATGATCGCTCTGATTCTTTAATGCTGGTCACCTGCACCCCATAAATTCTCAAAATAGTTACCACTTTTCTTCAGTCGACAATTTATTTTGTCCTTGTCCTATATTTTCCCTGTGTTTGCTGTTGATTTTTTCATTACTTTGTTCATTACTTTGTTTCACATAAATTATATCAAAATACTGCACTTAAAGTACATGGTGAATTTTTGGTAACTCTCTATAAGACAGAAACCTACCAAGAAGAAAATGTTTTTAAGGAACTGTCTAGTTCTGTCTTAGAGAAATTTTACTGTATAATAATACTGTTCAATGCATATCTATTGTTAGATGAATAAAACCAAAACATACTTATTTTATAATCTACACTATAATTTTCAGACAGCATTCATAGTCAATCTCTCTCTTTGCCTTGGCACTTTCATGTATTCTTTTATGGTGCACAACATCTTTTATGGTTTTATGGTTTTGTGTTTCTCGCCCTCTCCCTCTCTCTCTCTCTGACATAAGGTCATCAGTACTGTTCCAATTCCTTTACCTCAGGGGAGACTGCATGGATTATGACCTTTGACCGGCACAAGCGGCCCAGGGTTAAAATTTGTGGCACTGAGGCGACACATTTTTTCCAGGTAAGAATTAATTTCCAGGATGTTGCATTTCCTTCGTTCACTATAACTGAAGTTCAGAGTTAACTACAACTTAATTTTTTTGTGCTTATTTGTAATTGAAATGGCATCAGTGACTTAAGTTCATTATAACCAAGAGTTCACTTTAGTCAGAGTTGACTGTATGTACAACAATCTTGTCAACTATTGACATTCAGTTAACAATAGCCTAATTTGTTACTATGACAACAATGCTTGAAAGTTCCTTTAAAATTAAAATTGTTCATCCTTGCACCATTCAATTTATATTTCCCAAAATGCAATAACCCTTAAGAAAATGTAGTAGAACCAAAGTTTAGACAATAACAGAATGGTTCGTAACATTGATACTGGGTACTATCAAGTATTTTTTCACACATTTTCTTGATTTTTGAATTCTCCACATGATTAATTGAAAAAATGGAAAATACTTAAGCAGGTCTAGAATACCTCTACATCATCATCATCATCATCATGTTCTTTTTCTTCTTTCACTTCTCTCTTCAAGAAGCAACGCTCAGCGTTTTCCTGCAAAAAACATAAGCAAACAGTATAGTGCTTCTTAAAGGAAATAATATTAACAAATAATATTTTTTTTAAATATCACGCATTCAGGGTTCGGTCAGAAAACCTGAGATGTCACATCCAGATTATTTTATAAGCACGAATCCAATGCAACAAATTTTTCATTAATTAAAATACACAAAAATCTAATAGAATACTGTAAAGCCAGACAACACCTTTCAAAACTTGTTTTTTTTTAATATTTTAATGAGATTAATTTTGTTATCCATATTATTAATTTCCAATTTGCACAGAAATTGAAAGACACTCAGATATTTTCAAAAGTGCCTAGGTCACCAGGTTTCACCAGATTCCTAGAAAGTTGGGAAAAATCCACACACAATCTAACAGTTTCGATTTTGATGAATAATGGAAATAATTGTTGTGTTTTTTTGCATACACTCATACTGTGTTATCCAACTGGATTCTCATACCCAGTGCATCTATACTTATGTCAGAGCTCACAATGCAACAGCAAAGCCTGAAGGAAGAGACCACCTGCCATAAAATAATTGTTATTCATCTGTTGTCGTTAATTTCATTGCTTTAAAGAACACAGACTTTTTTATCTTCTTGGTATGTAAAGAATTGTTCAGCAATTTATATAATACTATATTATGTTATTGTGACATTCATGAAGATTATTTTTGTTAAAATATTTAATTTATTGACGGGTTCAAACCGTTAATTTGTTGTTGTTAAGTAGCATGCATGCTACTTTTTTGAAAACCAGTTTGAGGTTTTGTTCACAAAAAATTTTGCTGCTACAACCTACTAATATATAATTATATATGAACATGTCTATCCTTTATATTTGGTAATGAAGTCACAATAAGACTTACATTGCAGTATTAGAGCATCAAGTCTCTGAAACACAAACCACCCTGCAGCATTTCAAATTATGACCAATCCAGCCACACCTCTCTTCATCGTTGTTTCATGTAGAACATTTGTTCTTTGCACATGGCAAAAGCAGGGTTGTGTCTCAAGAGACACCTAAAATGTAGCTAATTCTCATTTCATAGA